CATAGGGAGCTCCACCGAAGGCCCCAGTGGCAGGGTCCGCATGCCTCCCCCACACCCATTTCGGCACACCCCTCACACGTTTCGTGGCCCCATAGGGAGCTCCACCGAAGGCCCCAGTGGCAGGGTCCGCATGCCTCCCCACCACCCATTTCGGCACACCCCTCACACGTTTAGTGGCCCCATAGGGAGCTCCACCGAAGGCCCCAGTGGCAGGGTTCGCATGCCTCCCCACCACCCATTTCGGCACATCTTTCATATGTTTCGTGGCCCCATAGGGAGCTCCACCGAAGGCCCCAGTGGCAGGGTCCGCATGCCTCCCCAACACCCATTTCGGCACATCCCTCACACGTTTCGTGGCCCCATGGGGATTTCCACTGAAGGCCCCAGTGACTGGGTTCGCATGCGCCCCCACACCCATTTCGGCACACCCCTCACACGTTTCGTGGCCCCATAGGGAGCTCCACCGAAGGCCCCAGTGGCTGCGTGCGCATGCCTCCCCACCACCCATTTCGGCACACCCATCACACGCTTCGTGGCCCCATAGGGAGCTCCACCGAAGGCCCCAGTGGCTGCGTTCGCATGCCGCCCCCCACACCAATTTCGGTGCACCCCTCACACGTTTCGTGGCCCCATAAGGAGCTCCACCGAAGGCCCCAGTGGCAACGTTCGCATGCCGCCCCCACACCCATTTCGGCACACCCCTCAAACGGTTCGTGGCCCCATAGGGAGATCCACCGAAGACGGTACTCACACCAGCATTACTCACAACTGCATATGGTTGGGTCCTTCGCCAGGCTAGTTTGAGGCCTCCTGGGGCGTCTCGAGGGGCATCTTGGCGAGCCCAGGGCCATCTTTGAGCGTCTTGGGTGCCTCGGGGATCCTCTTGAGGCCTCTTGGGGGTCATTTGGGAGCCTCTTGGAGGTCCGTGGGGCGCCCCTTCAGGCCGCCTGGGCGCGTCTTGGGGGCCCTCTTGGGGCGCTCTTGGGAGCTTTGGGGGCGCTCTTGGAGCCATCTTGGCCTCGTGGGGGGCCTCCTCGGGGAGGCTACGTGTCCTCTCGGGGCATCTCGGGAGCCATCTTAAGGCATCTTGGGAGCCATCTTGAGGCATCTTGGGTGGACGAAGACGGACACAGGATTTGTTAGCGGTAATGCTACGAAGGCGCCGATGCCAGGATGCAGTTATGCTGAAACTGCACGGTGCCATAGCCAGGACGTGGGCAAGGCTATGCCTTGTCGCGGTCATCTTGGGATCTCTGGGGCACTCTTGGAGCTGTCTCGTGCCATCTTGGACGCTCCCACCTCTCGCGGACTCCCCCGCTCAGGTCCAGGGGAGAGGGTAAGGCGGAAGGGAAAGCCCCTCCCGAAGGGGAAGAAGGCGGTTTGAAGAGAACCCCCCCCAGGCCACCTACGCCCAGAGGGCTGGTGGGATGTTGCACAGTTGCGTAACACGTTTGCAGAAGTCGACCCCGTGATGCCTTTTGTACGCATGATTACATGTTGCTGCGGTTGTTGAGAAGGCGGTTGAGGTGTTGTGGCCGATTTCAGTCAGACTTCTCTTCAGTGATCGATCTTGTCTCAAGTGTATACTCATTCTCGCGTTTGCTCACACCTTCCAGACCCACTGGGCACGCCCATGCGGCAAATGATTCCGCCCGTTTGCGCAGACTTGCCCATGCCGAGGCACTCGCAAAGGGAAGTGCCAGAACACGGGATGCGCATGCTGCTAGATCCGCGTAGAATAATTGCTCCCCTTGGGGTTCGACGCCCCTTCTAGGCGTCTATGGTGTTCGGAGTCGCGTCTTTGTTTTTTTCCACCATCTTGTGGTGTGGGTCCCTTTTTGAGAGGACGGGCCCGCGTTCCTTCACCTCTTCCCCTCCCCCCCACCTCACTCCTCCCATCATCATTCATCATTCATCATTCATCATTCATCATTCATCATCATCATCATCATCATCATCATCATCATCATCATCATCATCATCATCATCATCATCATCATCATCATCATCATCATCATCAGCATGCGTCCCTGCACCCATTTCGGCACACCCCTCACACGTTTCGTGGCCATAGGGAGCTTCACCGAAGGCCCAGTGGCAGAGTCGCCATGCCTCCCCACCACCCATTTTCGGCACCCCACCCTACACGTTAGTGGCCCATAGGGAGCTCCACCGAAGGCCCCAGTGGCAGGGTCCGCATGCCTCCCACCACCCCTTTTCGCACACCCCTCACACGTTTCGTGGCCCCATATGGAGCTCCCACCGAAGGCCCAGTGGCAGGGTCCGCCACGCCTCCCCACCACCCCTTTCGGCACACCCCTCACACGTTTCGTGGCCCCATAGGCAGTTCCACCGAAGGCCCCAGTGGCTGCGTTCGCATGCCCCCCCACCACCCATTTCGGCACACCCCTCACACGTTTCGTGGCCCCATAGGGAGCTCCACCGAAGGCCCCAGTGGCTGCGTTCGCATGCTTCCCCACCACCCATTTCGGCACACCCCTCACACGTTTCGTGGCCCCATAGGGAGCTCCACCGAAGGCCCCAGTGGCAGGGTCCGCATGCGTCCCCACCACCCATTTCGGCACACCCCTCACACGTTTCGTGGCCCCATAGGGAGCTCCACCGAATGCCCCAGTGGCAGGGTCCGCATGCCTCCCCACCAGCCATTTCGGCACCACCCCTCACACGTTTCGTGGCCCCATAGGAGCTCCACCGAAGGACCCCAGTGCAGGGTTCAGCATGCCTCCCACCACTTCATTTCGGCACACCCTCACAGTTCGCGCCTCCGTAGTGGCCCCATAAGGGCCCACCGAAGGCCCCAGTGGCAGGGTCCGCATGCCTCCCCACCACCCATTTCGGCACACCCCTCACACGTTTCGTGGCCCCATAGGGAGCTCCACCGGAGGCCACAATGGCAGGGTCCGCATGCCTCCCCACCACCCATTTCGGCACACCCCTCACACGTTTCGTGGCCCCATAGGGAGCTCCACCGAAAGCCCCAGTGGCAAGGTCCGCATGCCTCCCCACCACCCATTTCGGCACACCCCTCAAACGTTTCGTGGCCCCATTGGGATTTCCACTGAAGGCCCCAGTGACTGGGTTCGCATGCGCCCCCACACCCATTCCGGCACACCCCTCACACGTTTCGTGGCACCATAGGGAGCTCCACCGAAGGCCCCAGTGGCAGGGTCCGCATGCCGCCCCCGCACCAATTTCGGCACACCCCTCACACGTTTCGTGGCCCCACAGAGAGCTCCACCGAAGGCCCCAGTGGCTGCGTTCGCATGCCGCCCCCACACCAACTTCGGTGCACCCCTCACACGTTTCGTGGCCCCATAAGGAGCTCCACCGAAGGCCCCAGTGGCAACGTTCGCATGCCGCCCCCACACCCATTTCGGCACACCCCACAAACGGTTCGTGGCCCCATAGGGAGATCCACCGAAGACGGTACTCACACCAGCATTACTCACAACTGCATATGGTTGGGTCCTTCGCCAGGCTAATTGATGCACGGCACGCACAACGCATCTTATAGCTCTCCTTCCCGATCTTTTCAGTTCCTCGTCACTCCATTCCAATCCTCTCCCCCTTCCTCCGCACTGTTTGGCGTTCCTCCTGAATCTTCTGCCCTATGTTTCGCTCCTCCGAAATCCTCCACATTTTTCCTGAGTCCCCCCCGCTCCCCAAACCTCCTCCCCACATTCCTCCGCCCTCCAGAACCGCTCGCTCTCGTTCTCGTTCTTCCGCCCTCCTCTCCACCCCTCCCCCGTTTATGTATGCGCTCCCCTCCCATCCCCCGCTCTCCTCCAGAATCCTCCCCTTCCTCCGCGCTTCTCTTTTTCCTCTTCGGCACTCTTCCCCTTCTGCACTCTTCCCCACTCCTCCACACTCCTCCGTACTTTTCCGCACGCTTTCCCGCTCGCCCGTCCTCCGCAATGCTCCGTCCTCATCCTCCTTCTCTCGGAGAGGCGCACCTTCACCGAGTATAGGACGCACCACTATCGAGGATGGACGCCCCCCCCCTCGCAATGACGTGCCCCAGCCCGAGCCCGGAGTGGTTCGCCAGTCGACAGGACTTCTGGGTCGGGGATCTCGGGGGCGGCAAAGAGGGGGGTGATGACTAGGGGGGGTGGATATCATGGCGTGGGCCATGCTAGTTCCCCAGATTTCATGGCGCCTCTTCTTACTTCATTACGTCCCTGGCCCCCCCCCCTCTGGGCGGCCCACATGCCTCCGGCCATGATTTGCGCCCCCCCCTCTTGGACGCCCCCCTCTTGGCCGCCCCCGAGGATCGGGGTCGCCCGAGTGGAGGGGGAAGCAGCCCGCCGCTCCAGGCTGAGCGCAAAGCCCGCGGACCCCACGGGCGTGTGCATTGTTCGCGACGGGCCCCGCTTCCGCACAGAGCTGGAGACTGTTTTGTTCTAATCCCCCCCCTCAGGATAACCTGACCTTGCCGGTTATGCAGGTCCGGGGTGGGGGGGCGCGGGCATATGCAGGGTTGCCCACAGCGCGAAAGTTTGGTTATCGGCCGGCCCCCTCCTCCCCCCCCCGGATAACCCAGGTTATCGCCGATTCAAAACAAAATGTCTCTTGACGCTCTTCGTCGCCGAATGTGTTTCTTGGGGGTCATGCTTCGGGGGGCACTTTCACCGATCCGCGGATCTGGCGCCCACGCGCGCGGGAAGCATGTTATGCTCCCGGGCGATAGCGGGCGCTACCAGGAGGGGGGGAGGGGAGGGTCGGGGCCGATAACGTCACGTCGTTTCGCGCCAGCGCCGTCCGGGAATGCCTGGGAATAGTTACCCAGAGACATCTCGGAGGTCAGCGCGAATCGTGACCTTACCTTGGGGGAAGAGGGGGGTGGGGCCTGAGGCCGGTACCGGCCGCTGTCGCGAGAAATGAAAAAAAGCTCTCCAGACCCACGGGTCCATAGTTCATGTTATGATTATTGTGTGCCCGAACCGCCTGGCCGCCCCCCCCGTCACCCGGCCGTCGGCGAGGTGCTGCTGGTGGTCCCTTACGTGGTGCTGGCGCGGCGGGCCTTCGTGGGGTCTGCACCCACGGCGGTGCTTCGGGGATACGGGGGGGGGCTCCCGTGCAGCTCTCATGTGGTAGCAAATCATGGGAGCTCTGTGTACCCTCCAAATGCCGTCTTTAGAGTGCGCTGGCGTCGATTAGCGCTCAGTAGTCGAGGGGACTGCGCCGATGTAGCGCCGATGGGCGTCGATGGGCCTGGATGCGTCGATTGGCGTCGATTCAGCATCGATGAGCTGTGCTCAGCGTCGATCCACAAGGGCCAACTCGATTGCACTGGAGGCGCGCGGGAGTTGCCGCAGACTTCCCGCGGCCCCAGCAGCACTGCAGCGAGGGACTCGTCGCAGGCTCCCCAACGGCCACAGGGGCCTCCCGGGAGGCCCCCGCCGCCACGGCTGCATCTAAGTCGGGCATGTCCCTCCACAGGGCCCAAAGACAGTTTAAATATAGTCCGGGGGCTATTTTCTGAGTAGTTTTGGATATCTTTGGGGTATGTCTTGAGTATCTTTCATTTTTCGTCCAACATCCCCCTGTAGGGGAACAGGCCCGACTAAGGTAAGGCTAGATTCTCCTTGAAATTCTTGTGAGAACGCATCCCAAAATAGGTACGGGAAGTTGCGGTATCGGTACTTGTTCTGTCCCCTCGAAGTTGGCGCCAGCTCGCAACGAAGCGGAAGGATGGTTTTTCCCACCAGATAGGTTGGGACTGGTAGATTTGCAAAAGCGAGCTCGCCGACCACCCATGCACACCCTGCATTCTTCGGGGGCCCCCAAACGGTGCGGTGACCACACCATGTGGTAAGGCAGAGGCAGTCGGGATTCGAGGCGTCCACATGGTTTTGAGACTTTTGGTCGTTCTTCGAGGATGTGTCAGGCAACTTGGGCATCCAGGGTCCCAAGACCGTGCGGTAACGGAGCGTGCGGTGAGGTGCTCCAAGATTGTGGAGGACGACCATTTCAGAGGAGGCATGTTGGTACATATGTTCCAGATGTCAAAACATGTTTCAAAACATGCACCAGACATGCAAATCATGATTTAACACAGGTTTTAATACAGCATTCAAAGCATGTGTTATGCAATGCTCGAACTGTTGGAGTGTCCATTTTCATGGCATCTACAACTTCAGGATTTCGAGGGCACCGCTCGGCCATTCACCGCACCACCTTTGGGCCTCCGAATTGCCATCTCGGAAGCGTGCGAATCACTTCAGGGCTTCAGTCTCAGGGCTTCAGTCTCAGGGCCTCCACCCCGCTAACCACCATTTCGGATTACGAGATGGTGGTTATGGGTTTCGGATCGTTCGGCTCAGCCACCACGGCGCATCCGCCGTTCCAGAATTTCGAGCAGCAGCAGGGACGGGGGTGCCTCCTGCTCATCAGTCTCATCCTGCTCCCCCCCACTCCTTCTCCTCTGGCACTGGCGTTGGCGCAGGAGCAGGGGGAGGCGGAGGATGGGCGGATTCAGAGCAGGGAACGGTACCCATAGCGCTACCCTTTCCACGGTTTCCTCTTTTTGGGCCTCTTGGGAGGCCCTCGTCGCCACCGCTGGATTCGCCTCGAAATTCCTAGTCAGAAAGACGGCGAGTAGTGGTATTTGTACCTTGTGGTTTCTTCATGCATGGAGGTTGAGGGCGCGGGCCCCGAGGAGGAGGAGGAGGAGACGCGAGTCCCAGCGGACCCCCATGGCGCCTGCGAGCATCGCCAGTGTGTCGACCTCGGCGCGGTGCTACTGCTGTCCTGACTGCCAGCGCGCGTCGCCAGTGGAGCGATGGCGGCAGCGGTGTCGCATCGCCAGTGTCTCCGGCGGCGGCGCCGTCTGTCGGCTGCAGAGGGGTCCGAGCGGGGGTGCAGGGGAGGTTGGATGCAACTCCTGGGAGGTTAAATTCTGATTCTGCCCTGGTCCGCCATCTGGCCAAATACGGGTTAGTACCATTTTATCCGGCCTAATCCCGCTTAATCCTGCTTAATCCGCGGCCCAATCTGGCGTAAGTCGACGAAGACCTCCCAGTAGTTGCGTCCTAAGTTAGTAGGGTGAGGTCTAACAGGAGAGGGCGACGATGAGGAGGCGCAGTGCGGGGGAGGAGGAGGAAGGAGGAGTCCCCTTGAGCCAGGGGGTAATGAGACAAGGGAAGGGGGAGCACGAGCAGGAGAAGCAGCAGGAGAAGGCGGATGAGGGGAGGAGGTTGAGGAAGAGGAGGGAGGGCGAGGAGGTGAGGGGAAGGGGGGTGACCCAGACTCCCGACGTCGTGGTTTTTCCGCAACGCCTGCCCTTGCAGGTCTCGACCCATTCCCTGGGGCCAGCCCTTCCTCCCGAGTCGTTCTTTGATGGTCCCGTGGCCCGGCGACAGCCCCCAGGGACCGAAAACAGGAAACACCGCCCGTCGCGATCCGGTCTTGAAGCCAGGGGGTCTGGGGGAGGAGGTGGAGGAGGGGGAGGAGGAGGAGGAGGAAGACGGAGGGAGGAGGAGGGAGGAAGGAGGAGGAGGGAGGAGGAGGAGGAGGAGGAGGAGGCGGAGGAGGAGGAGCACGCAGGGCCCCCCCCCCCCCTCCCGAGACGCCGCCATCTGCCGCAGGTGTGCATCGCGATGGGGGGCGTGCCTCCCGCGGCGGCCCGGCTGCTGTGGGCGTGGGGGGGCGACGCCGTGTGGTCGCTGCTGCACTCGGAGGTGGCCAGCCTGTGCGCCGGGGCGCTGAGCGCCGTCTGTGCGGCGGCGGTCTGCAGTCGCACGCTGGCGAGGGGCCCTCCCTAAAGGAACAGGGAGCGTTCCGGCGCCGTCGCCGCCCTCCTCCTCCTCCTCCTCCTCCTCCTCTTCCTCCTCCTCCTCCTCCTCCTCCTCCTCCTCCTCCTCCTCCTCCTCCTCCTCCTCCTTCTCCTCGTCCACCTCCTCCTGGGGGGGCCCGTGCTCGCGAGGGGGAGGCTGAGGCACCGCTCCGCGATGCGCCGCTATAGCGGATCCTGCGGCGTGGGCCGTTCCTCATTGTCGTTGCCTCGTGCGCCGAGGCGCTTGGGTCGCTGGTGGCTCTTGTGCGGCTCTTGCCTTGCCCTCCGCCTCCTCCGCCTCGTGCCTCCCGGCCTCCCCGCTCGCCCGAGCCCTCGAGTGCATCCCTCGCCCTCCCGCCTTGGCTGGGTGTCCCCACCTCGAGTGGAGGCCAGCACATTTCCAAGTCGTGACCCTCACCTGAAGTCGGCAGCAGGCCCAGGGGGGAGTGAGAGGAGAACGGGCCCAGGCCTCCTCGCGCTGTGAGAGAAAAATCATGCCGGGAGGTGTTTCGCAATTTTCGGGCTCTGGGGGCCCTTCCAGGGCCTCGGGACTGTCAACCAACGACCGTGCGTCGGCGGCGAGCGAAGGGGCAGGCCTTCTCAGAAGGCTCGGAATTCGCCTGGCCCTCTGAGAAGTGTTTGACGGCCTTCTCCCCCTCGTTTCCCCCCCTCGCTCGCCGCCGAGTAAACGGGTCTGCTAGGAACGTCGGTGCGCGCCCTCTACACAGCTCGAAGTAGGGGGGGGGGCACTAGCAGAGCAGGAGGGCACAGCCGAGTGAAGTTAGGGCAACGCTGGGTTCAGGAGGCGCTCCCGTTGTCCCAGTCGCTCCCCAGAGCCGCGTCGGGGAACCCATTCGTGGTCGAGACTTGCCGCGTCCAGCCAGGCTCCCTCGCTCCTCACCGGGGGGGTCCTCAGGGTAGCACGGCGGCTTCGGGAGCAGGAGGAGGAGCAGGAGAAGGGACGACCAGGAGGAGGAGGAGGAGGAGGAGGAGGAGGAGGAGGAGGAGGAGGACGCCGGGCGACAGTTGGGCTCTCCTCGGGTGTGCCTCGAGGAGGGCCCGAGCGAGGCAGGCCCGCATCCCGGCACGACGCCTCCCGCACCCTCCCCCCCTTGCCCCTCGAGGGCCGCCAAGGGCAGGGGGGCTCTGATGGTGCGGATGGTACGACATCTCTCGAGAAGAGAACCAACAAACGCCACAAACATGAGTTTGTTGCGCTCCGCGCGGAGTTCTTGGACCCGAGCTGGGCCCTCCCGGCGGCGCCTCCGGCGCCGCCCCCGGCGCGCCGCCCCTGGCGCGCTCTGCGCGCCAGGGAGGGGGGTCCAGCGCAGATCCAAGAGATCCACGCGTTTATGTTTAGGGCGTTTTGCTTCTTCTTCCTCTTCTTCTTCTTCTTCTTCTTCTTCCTCTTCTTCTTCTTCTTCTTCTTCTTCTTCTTCTAATCAAGGCTGGGGCCATGACCTCTCCCCAATTTCGTGACGACCTCCGGTTCTCTGCAGCACGTTCCCTGGTCTCCCTCCCTCCCCCTCCCTCGTCTGCGCACGTGCCCTCTCGGCCAGGGTCTGCGGCCTCCCCCCCCTGTGGGACGCCCCCGAGCCCGCTCCCTTCCCTCTCCCTGGCATCGCTCGGACGTGTGCACTTCTTCCTCGGCGAGGACCATCGAGGACCATCCTGGACCATCGAGCAACAAAAAACACGCACGAAACCCAAACATACACGGGAAATGGACGTCCGAGCGGACCATCCTTGACCATCGAGCAAAAAAACACGCACGAAACCCAAAAATACACGGCAGATGGACGTCCGAGCGACGGCGAGTCCCTCTCTCTCTCTCTCCCTCGCGCGCGCCCTCCCCCTTCGGGCCCTTGTGCGGCGCTGCTCGCCGCGCTCCGCCCGCCCCGTCTCTGCCCCCCGCCGTCCTGGTCCGAGAGGGGGGCGAGCGAGCGTCCCCAGCGACGGGCCTTCGCGTGAGGTATGGCCGCAGCGCACTGGGGCGCCCTCCACTTGGGAGGACAACGTAGCGTGGCTTCGTGCCTTGCCTCACCCCTGCCGGCGCATGCAGCGAGGCGTGGTGCGCCTCTGGGGCAGGCGCCGCCCGAGCCACCAGGGCCACGATCCGGCGTCGGGTTCTTCGCGCCCCTGGCGTCTCGGGCGTCGCTGCGACGCGCGTCGGGGCGACACACACACACAGACACAATTAATCGTCCACTCCCAGGAAAATATGGGGAAATATGGGGAGTGGGGGAGAAGACAGAAGCTCAAATAAATATATATATATATATATATATAGGAAAATAGGGGGATATACGTTATTTGTGTGTATTTATTTGCGTGTCCTGGGGCCCCTTCAGTGTTTGCATTGCTGGCCAGCGTGGGTCCTAAAAACCTGGGCTGTATCGCACCGAGGGGGTGCAAAGCTCTGCGGTGTGGGCCGTGTGGTGCAAGCTCCGTCGTGTAAGCTATGTGGTCAGGGCTGCGGAGGCGGTAGCTGCGCGGTGTAATCTGCAGCCTGGCATCGCTCGGGCGTGTGCATTTTCCTTCGGCGAGGACCATCGAGGAGCATCCTTGAGCATTTCGCGAAAAAAACACGCACGAAACCGACAAAAAAAAACTGGGAATGTACGTCCGAGCGATGGCGAGATGTGGTGATGGCTACGGAGGCGATAGCTGCGCGGTGTAATCCGTAGATGGTGCAGGCTGTGCCGTTCAAAAAGTTCGTGGTGTGAGCTGGAGGTGAAAGCCTTGCCTTTTGCAGCTTCGTGCGGCACGGGACGCCTACGATTAAGTCGGGCACGTCCCCCTACAGGAAGAGTATTCAAACATAGTCACAAACAAACAAGACATCATTGGGGGACGATGTTTGAAACATCTGTTCTGAAAACTATGTTTGAGTATGTTTCCAATCGGTTTGTCCATAAGTCCGCCTGTAGAGGGACACTCGGCCACGCGCAGAGGGGGTTGGGGGGAGGGGGGAGGGCTTCTTAGAAACACCCCTGCTGCTTAGAAGGCGCGGAGGCCGGCGCCGTCTGAGAAGCAGCCTCCTTCTAAGAAACCTTCCCCCTCCCGTCAGGCCCGTGTGCGCGCCGAAACCGAAAATGGCGGACAACCTCCCGTCGTGGTTCTTTCACTGCGCGCGGGGGCCGACCGTCCCGGCACTCCCATGGGCCCACCACGACATGTTCTCATGGAGTGCTCTGAGAACAAAAACGACGCCTTCCGAACAGCTCGACGTGCCACACGCAAGACGGCCCCAGCCAGATTCGTGCGCGCCGCCAAGACGCGCCCGACCCGAGCCCACGAGCGCCCGCGGGGCTACAGGGGGATTTTCGACGAAAAATAAAAAATACACCAAAAATTATAAACAAAATACTCCAAACATAGTCGTGGGACTAGTTTTGGAGTATTTTATCACCTTTTGGGAGTATTTTTGGGGTATTTTTATTTTTTCGTCGAAAATCTCCCTGTAGGGGGACAGGCCCGACTTAAGCCGAGCCGCCCGGCCCCCCCCCCCCGGGCACGCCGGCCGGGGCGGCGCGCGGGCGGCGCGCGCGGCGCGCCTCGGCGACCCCGCCCCCCCTGTGCTGGCGCGGGGCGCCCCCGGAGCGGCGGCGGGCCGCCGGGGCCCGCTTCCCACCACCAAGAGGACGAATGAGGAGGAGGAGGAGGAGGAGGAGGATGAGGAGGAGGAGGACGAGGCGGAGGAGGAGGAGGAGGAGGAGGAGGAGGGGTGGACGCAGGAGAAGGAGAGGGACGGAGGACGAGGACGAGGAACCCCCCCTGGCGCGGGAAGACGAGGACGGGACGAGGACGAGGACGAGGAGGAGATAGAGGACGAGGACCGATGGGCGAGGAGGAGGAGGCGGAAGGAGGAGGGGAGGCTGGGGGAGGAGGAGGAGGAGGGGAAGGAGGAGGAGGATGGAGGAGGAGGAGGAGGAGGAGGAGGAGGAGGAGGAGGAGGAGGAGGAGGAGGAGGAGGAGGGGGGAAGGAAGGTGAGAGGACGAGGAAGAGGAGGAGGCGGAGGAGGAGGAGGAGGAGGAGGAGAACGAAAGTGGAGGAGGAGGAGGAGGAGGAAGTGGAGGCGAATGAGGAGGGAGGGGAGGGACGAGGAGGCAGGGAGGAGGAGAGGAGGAGGAGGAGAGGAGGAGAGGAGGAGGAGGAGGAGGCGGCGGAGGACGAGGAGGAGGAGGACGAGGACGAGGACGAGGACGAGGACGAGGAGAGGAGGAGGAGGAGGAGGAGAGGAGAACAGAAGGATAGGGGGAGGCAGGGGGGAAGGGAAGGTGGAGGGACGAGGAAGAGGCGGAGGAGGAGGAGGAGGAGGAAGAGGATGGGGAGGAGGAGGAGGAGGAGGAGGAGGAAGAAGAGAACGAAGTGGAGGAGGAGGAGGAGGAGGACGAAGTGGCGGAGAATGCAGTGGAGGAGAAGGAGGAGGACGAAGTGGAGGAGAACGAGGAGGAGGAGGAGGAGGAGGAGGAGGAGGAGGAGAGGAGGAGGAGGAGGAGCCCCTCCCCCTCCATCTTACGGTGGTAGTGGTGGTGGAAAGCAGGCCCATCAACGGCCGGCAGCGGGGCGCAGCCTCGGCCGACTCGCCCAGCGCAAGTGGCGCCCACGAGCGCCCACGAGGCTCAAGGCGGTCACGCCCCTCTGCAGGAATATTCACAAATGGTTAAAATTATCCCAGCGCAGCCCTACCTAGGAGTTGGAGCCTCTAGGAAAGCAACATTACTAGGAGCGGTCAACGCCGTCCTCCTCCTTCTCCTCATCGTCGTAGTTGTAACAGTAGCGGTAGTAGTAGCATGGAACATACGTGCGCAAACACACAGATCTATATAGTACACACACACATACATATATATATATATATATATATATCCCGGGGGAGCAGGCCCGGGCCCCGAAAAAAGGCGCCCCGACCCTCCATGGGGGTACCGGGGCTCATTTTCCCTGTGTTTTACAGGGTTTCCGCTTCCCGGGCTCCGGAGGCCGCA